CGGGCTATTTTCCTACGATGCTTTCAACCCCATCGGCGCCCAGTCAGCTAGACGCTGTCCAGTAGGTGTTAAAGGTAGTGGCCAGGTCACAACAAAAGCTTCGCGAAACAACCCTTTTGTTGAACGGGTTCGAACAGCGTGGGACGGCGCCACTGTGGCAGTTCTCATGGAGTCAACCTCTGGACTCGGCTGTCGTCGCCGACGTGAAATCATCAGAAAAGCACCGACAGTCCCGAAGCATGGGAAGACGTCGCAGTTCTCGGGGATTGAGCACTTGGCCTGCAGAGTTCGGAAAACTGGCAAAAATGTAGCAAAACGCTGCCTTGGACCATTGCTGACATTCGTGTCAGCGGCCATCTCTCCAGAAAAGTTCAACTTTTCCCCTCCACTAGACTCTACCTCCTCGCCCTTCGACGTTTTCAAGACGTGGGCTAGGTGCGTCATTGTGTGGTGGGCTCGTGCTACCATTAGACCTTTTCGCCCAACCGAGTGGTTCAATATCTGCACCCTTTTGGTGGGGGACACTGAGACTTCGTCACCCTGGTTTGTGGCGAAAGTGGTCATCGCCTTTTCGGACCTCCGTGTAAGGAGACGGCGGGCTATAAAAGCCGAAAACATTTTGTAAATAATGACTGAATTTCTGTACAGTTTCATCTTTCAACTATCATGTAAATAAACCTTCCTTCTTTCTCTCTTGATGTGTCCCTGACCTGGCAAAGATCAGCTATGCGGACGACGGCGGGATCCAGGTATTGCTAAAGAAACCCGCTGTACCTACCCATCAACCTCGAACACTTATAGCCTGTGACTTTTTTGGTGCTACATGTCTTCATGTTGCTTTTATACTTATGAAAGTAAACCATTCAAGACTGATGTTGGTTTTCTGCCAATGTAATGATGTTGACTTATTATCAACGTTACTTCTCGAGGGAGTGGCGCAGTTCGTGGTTGCATTTATCGTGCTGGTCCTTCGCATTGGCTTATTTCTTGCACACCTACAACTGTTGGTGCCAAAAGAATTGCATATGTTCATTTGCATTTCTGTGAATGATTTTGCTTCCAGCTCCGTTGTTCTCTTTGTCAACGAGGTTGTGGCTGCATGCTTGCTAATGCAACACAGTGACAAACTTAATAATTGACAATACAACAACCAATTTTTTTCAAGAATTCTTTTTGGAATTGCTTTAACTTTCATGAAGAAGTTGAATTATTACAAGCCTTGACAGTCTAACCACACACCAACACTACAAAGTATTGCTTCAGGCATCTGGTGGCAACCTAGCAAGTGGTCACTAGTAAAGTGTTGGCCATGGAGACATTCCATGAATATGACAAAGGAAACTCAAAGGTCCATGTCTAGTCCAACATCGCAGCTGATTAATGCTTTTCTCGCGTAATTATCTTCATTATGAATGAAAAAAGGCATTACTCGCAAGTGAAAGCCGTTGTGCAGCCCGCTTTGTGGAAATAGGCTACGAGCAGCTGGTACGATTTGCGGCAGTTGTTGGCTTGCAAAAGCCAAACATCAAAGTCATTCACACCCGTCAGCCGGAAAGTTCGTGATGCGGCAATGGTTGACGTCAGTGCTAACCTTGAGAGGTCGAAAAACCTCGCAGTGAGAGAGCTTAGCAGGGACGACATTGCCATTATGTACGACGGTATGAAGCCAAACATGGCTGCAAAATGGCATGACATTGGACTTAGTTTGGATTTCGTAGTCTGTCGAACTTCTTCCTAGCTCGCAGTTGGCACAAGGCTCTGCTAGATGGAGCAGAAGTTTGGCAAGCGTTTCATGGCCCTGTCTGTGAGCGAAATATCTGTGAGGAGTCTGCTCGAAAACGTCGAGAGGGACGAACTCATGGTGCTGTCCTTTTTTTAGTCAAAGTGGCCACTACAAGAAGGATTGTTCTTTTCGGTGTGCAAATATAATCTGATTTAATAATTTTTTATAAATAAAAACTCAACTTTAACTTTAAAACTCATTTTTCTCAAAACACAAATTTTGCCAGTTTTCTAATGTCTCCCTTCTTTACCGGGCACTTCTAGTGCTCGGATCTGCATGAACTTTTGCCCAAATTTTTTCCAAAGTATGACAAATGCAATTATCAAGTTTAAATTTAAATATTTTGTTGTATAATGAAAAAATCCTATGTATACCTTTACTAGGGTAGGTGAAATATGGACTTTTTACGTCTATTATTTTTCACGCATATTACAGATTTTGTATGTGCTTCCTAATTAGCTATTAGCACTCTATACTTTATTTGAAGCATTATGAACTATGAATGATAAAAAATTACAGAATTTCAGGGATGAAAAGAGAGGGGCAAAAGGGTTAACGTTTTTAATTTGTCATGTTGCAGAGCTAAAAGTGTGTAACTTGCGAGGAAGCTAATTATATATTTGAAATCAGCATAAAAAGTTTCATACACAATTCAAGTTTCAATGCTCTAGGGTGAATATTAAAGAAAAAGTGTCTTCGAGTAGCATCTCCCCTTAAAAGAGTTTTTCGCTATCTTGTGAGTGAGTCAGTGTGCCACTGAAGCTGGTTCACTAGACATGATCAATTCGTTATGTAGCATCCATGGTGCAACGGGCACCCAATTATTCACTATACTTCTCTAAAATGGTCATGCTGGCCTAACCAAGATACTCATAATTACAAGCACAAGTCATGTAAGGCTTCCAGGAAGTAAAACTACAGCATTTCATCTCCGATCAGTTCCTTTACTTGAGTTTCGTTCATACTTGAGAATGTATGCTGCAAACTTCTGGCAGCTCTAGAAGAAAGCAACATTCCTCGACACATCTCCACATTTACCGAGGTGACAAAGCTGCAGTAATTGTCATGGCAGCCACAACCATTTTGTAACTTTTGAACAGAAGCACCATTTGGGGCCACTAACACCACCAGTGAAAAAGTCGACACTACCAAGCTAGGCAAACCTGTCCGCTTACCAACCCTAATAATTCTAGCAACCCCGGTTGAATCTCACCCAGTATTTCAGCACTTATAACAGGGCCATGCTTAACCATACACACTTTCACACTGCAAAGTGTGAAGTCCCTCTGGGGATGGTCCACTTCATTCTCCTTGATGAAACAGCACAAAGTACCCCGGTAACGCACTCCTGGCACAGGTTTTCATCTCCCCACAGAGCTTGGGGGTCCTTGGTTTCTACTTGAGACCTTTGCAGCTTGTGGCTTTCTGCTTGAAGTAAATCTGCACAAGGTCGTAGATAAGGTCTTTAGAATTGTAAATCATGATATCTAAATTCGTACAGCAGAAGAAAACGCTCCCATTTTTTAGACACATCAAGGCATATTTTTTTGAAGTTATCGCCCTGTATTTGCAACCTCTATTTCAGTTCTTTTTTTTAGGCTGCACTTGCTTTTGATGGTGCTATCTTACTATGAAATTGTGCATAAAAACAGCTCATTCACCACAACTCGAAATACACTGGGAAGCAACATCAGCTGGACGCTTTGCACAGCTTCTTTCATGTAATGGCTTATGTTGACCTTGACGGTGCTACTACACTGAAAAATATGAAAAATAATATTTCGTTCAAGGGTTTGAGAACTAGCCAGAATGTGCAATTACATCCTGGCAGAAATAAAAGACCACGAATTCTAGCACATGCTTTTCATATTTAGGGTAGGGTTATAATTTTCAAATTGCGTTCAAAGCTCCCAATAAACAGCAAGTCATGAAATCTAGCAGAAGTGGCTTGGTGTCGTGCTTCTGAGTCATTTTGTTTGCTGTACATGGTTTTAATGCTTTTCTGTGCACCACTAATTAGCGCTCAATACTGCTCGATATTACGTTATTACCTACCACTCTCTATATTGTTCTGCTTACAAGACAAAGCAGTTGATGCTGAGAACTTTGCCTTCGTGACTAGTGTGACATATCAAGACGCGACACATGCTTTCTCAATGCATGAACGTGCCTTAATGCAAGCATGTTCACTGAACTCTAGTGCACAAACATGTACTGCTGTCGTTCTCACTGCCAACTTTTTGTAGCCTGTTGTGTGTATAAAACTTCATGGTGGCCACAGACTCCAAAATAATGAAGATGTTCCACAGTGCACCTCAGAGTTATTTCCATGATTGACACTGCCAGTTCGACTTTCCATTGGACCAAATCAAATGTACACAAAAATGTTTGTCAGTGCCTTTAATTGGTTTATGTTTAAACCATGTAAATGTATAAAATGACTTGTCCTTTATGAGACTTTTTTTTTCCTTTGAATTAAAAAATGGAGTCTCATATATCACAAGGTGGTCTGCATAAGCTGTGAAACTGGGAACCCTATGCTGAAAAACACACATACAGCTCGAGACAAATATTTTAAGTGAACATAATTCTGTGATGATCATACTTGGCAATTTCTCCCTTTTTAGCCTTGCTCGTTGCATGTTTTTCATTCCACTAAGACCTGTGACTTCAAGCCCATGCAATTCTGCATGAAAACGGAAATCAAAATTGCCCAATTCAAAGCTAACAAAGCGAATTCAACACCAGATCATTGAAGCATAAGACTGAATTATTTTCTTTTTTTTTCTCGTTAATATGTATACTCCGTCCCAAAAACTCGTTGCAGCAGTGTAGAAAGTACAAGGTGTGAGCAAGCTATGCTTTTGGCTAGCTAAGCATATTTCTGGAAGCATTTGCTTAAATAACTGCTAAAATACCTCTGATAATTTCTTTACATATCAAGTAAACACATGCATCGAGTTCAGAATGTCATCACGATCAACAATGGCAACAGCACAGCCCTACAAGTAACAGGCACCCTACAAGTTCCTAGAAACCAATCCCTTCGCCTGTCCAGAACTCGGCAGTGTCCAGCTTTTTACTGTTCACCGTGATGTCCACACTTTCACCTGCTCATCACCCACAAACCCGTTCGTCAACTCACAGCTCTACCTTCTCGCATGGTGAGGAGGCGCACTATGCCTAAGAGGAGAGACAGCTAATCAAATAAGTATAGACAGAAAAGGGCAAAATGAGTGAAGCCATCTTTTGTATCACAAAATGCATAGAAAAATCCGACCCATTACAGATGTGCACAACTGCACTGCAACCACACACAATAAATTCGACCTTTGGGTGGTTTCAGGGCCATTCAAAGTGGCAAGCTTGAGACATTTGGATTTGTTTAAAAATTATGTGGCAATGTTATGCAACTTGTTAATCCTGTTTCAAATGTACATCATGTGCGTTCGATGTATATATGACCACCGATAGCCATCGTTATTAAGCAGCAAGGCATACCCCATGCAGCCATGAATGCCACTTTTAATACGAAATCATATTTGCTACTACACTACTATAAACACACTCAAAAACAAAGAAGTCAGTTCTAGCCATGAGCTACATTTCGCTGAGAACAAAGCATCTCATGTGTTTTGTCATTATTGAAATACTTTGTTTAGCCACATTTAGTATGCCTCGTTTTCAAGTATGGGGAATTGTATTAAGGAAACATTGCAAAAATGGTCACAAATACACGGCTGCTTAAGCATCAGGACACAAATATAAAGCAAATGGAAGTTAAACTTTAGGAATTACAAGCCACAGAGTGTACGATGATGTAATCAAAATGAGGTGGAAGGCATGTGCTTGCTTTATTTACCCAGCTTGCTTTACCAGCTTGCTTTAGTTACCGAACATGACTACTGAGATGCCATGAAAAGACCAAGCAGCGAATGTGGCGTAGGTGAACGGATGTTCAGGGATTTCCACCCTTCCCACTGACAAAGCAGCTCTGCAGCCTCCACACTGCTCCAGCCAATTGGACAGATGAGCATAGTTTACCTAATGTTTAGGAGTCACTGACATACATGCAAATGCAGAAGCATATTATAGGGAGCTTGCACCAACAGTGGTGGAACAGTAGGTGTCTAATTTCTTGCCTAAGCCAGTTGAGATGACAATTGGGGAAGCACATGCGGTTCTGGGCTGTTATAGTTGCATGCAAAGTAAGGCAAAGTTATAATGACAGAAAGATGCTGATGAAAGACGCCCGCAGCCGCATAGTACAGTAGCTATATATGCTCCCTACAGAACAAGAGGTGATATACAGTAACTTGATCCAGCAGTGCACCATCGTAATAGAAGCAAGAGCTTCTGCCGCCCACACATTCTCTATTGCCACCTCAACTGGCTATGACAAAATATGGCTACTTGCACCATCATCGTTCGTGCAGGCTCCTTTCAGGCACCCTGATATTAAAAAAACAGAATTCATACAATAGTGAATGTTGCCCTCAATGTGATGTGTTACTTTCAGTGTGGTGAGGAATTGAAATGTATTTCAAACCATTAAAACAGGTGAAAAGTAAGCGTGCAGCAGCCTTTTGTTAGGTTACAATGTAATAGCCCAGTTTCCTTTTCTAAAAAACGTGTGTATACCATGCACCATTTATTTTTATATGTACTATCAACATCGAATGAAACTCGAACGGCAAATACTGACAATGGTATAGTGCATACCGTCAAGAAATCACCGTGGAAACGCGTGAGTGTGCGCAATGCTACCGAATGTGCGCACCTGTCAATGGTGATGACTTGGTGTTGCGCACTATCCCATAGCAAATGCTTGCTGCTGTTGGTGTTTGATTCGACACAGATGATACATGTATGACATTCTGCCACAAGTAAAAAAAACAAACACACAAACAAGACACGAGCACGACGACATGGGTGGCCATGTCATGTTCATGTCTCTCGTGCGTGTGTTACTGACTAGCGGCAGAATGTCATGCAGTAAGCAATACCAACTAGGTTATGAAGAAATATTTTTGAAGTACGTTGCCCATAGTACAGTCGTGAGCAATATGAGAGCTAACACCGAATACAAGTTTAATCTATGATTATTAGTAATGTATCGATATAAATTTCAATTAGTTAACATCAAGAAATACCTTTTCGTTTGAGTATTTAGGGTTATGAACCATACTACGCCTGCCAGGTGCATAGAGTCTAAATAGTCTGAAATGGACCTGCAGGTGTGGATGAAATGGAAAAAAAACACCAACGGGAATGGCGAAAAGAGTAAAAGAGGAGAGAGGGACACAACTAAGGAAAGTCGCTAACTCCAGAGCAGGCCAGTATTTTCTTTTTAATTTTACCATTAGGAACTATAACCTATAATTGACTGGAGAGTTTCTTTTGTTTGCATAGTAATAAACAGCACAATGTAAGAACAAGGGACAAAACAAAAGAACGATGTGGGTCGAGCACGGACTGTCAACTGAAAAATATGCTGCTTAATAACTTCAGTGAAAAATAATGTTAGCTGCACACCTACTGTGAATGAGAGTATGGCTGAAAAAAATAAGTGCCACAATTAACTAAGATTTTACCAGACCCACAAGTGTACTAGGTATGTAGCTAATGTTATTTAGCGCACGGTTTTGTGCAATAAATTTTTCAGATAGCAGTCTGTGCTCATTCCGCAATCTTCTTATGTCTCCCATTTTTTACTTCGTGCACACACTACTGTGCTTTAGTCACTATGACCTTTAAAACCGAATTACAATGTATCCACTTGTATTGCTGACGACTGTACTGTATCATAAATTAGGCAAGAAAAGCATGTTGCTATAAGTCTGCTAACATATGTGTTCTAGTGCAACCAAGACGAGAACAGAAAGACGATGCAAAAACAATTGATTGATTTGTGGGGTTTAACGTCCCGAAACCACCATATGATTATGAGAGACACCGTAATGGAGGGCTCCGGAAATTTTGACCACCTAGGGTTCTTTAACGTGCACCCAAATCTGAGTACACGCGCGTACAACACTTCCGCCTCCATCGAAAATGCAGCCGCCACAGCCGGGATTTGATCCCGCGACCTGCGGGTCAGCAGCCGAGTACCTTAGCCACTAGACCACCGTGGCGGGGCGATGCAAAAATGCGCGCTGGTCCTGTCATTAAATGTCTTTCTTATGTCCTTATCTTGTTTGTGCTAAAACACTCACATGCCTGATGAGCTAGTCAGATTAGAAATACTCCTGTGTCATACCTATCCTTGTATCAGCAACAATCCAGCACTGTGAGAATCACACCACTGCCACACAGCAGTGTAATGCATTTTACTACGTGCTGATAGCACTATAATGTATAAAATGCTAAAATCTAGCATAATATGAAGTCTCACATGGTGCATGCAAGTTAAAAGTCAGACGTCAAACATGGATGCTGGCTGGTACAGCATCACTGGCAAGCGAAGACGACGCGCATGCATACGCACGATTGCATGAACATCTTTCCCAACACAGAGCAAACACATGATTACGTTTAACTAGCTCAAGACAGTGTTGAAGTTCACAATAACCACTAACACCTTCCTCACTTCATTGTGAATGTAGGCTTCTTATAACCACTTAGGTAGTTCGCTAGGTGAATTGAGTCAAGTTAAAGATTATACCCTCCCTGAAAGCGAGCAAAATGCTGTCCAGCCGCAAATGGCACTGCAGGCTCTGTTTTATCAACAAAGCAAGCGCCGCTAGCTTCCTGCTTACTACAATGCACATAATAAAACAACTCCATCATTACACACACGCATGTTCTCAATTTACGGGAACTCGCTTCCGTGAGGCCGTACGGATGAGCCATGGCTCCGCATGTATCAGCGTAGTGAAAGCGAATCGGTAACGGGCACAATGTCCGTGCATCGCAAGAGAGCGAGGTAATGACGGGCGACAGCCATCACCTCGGAGTCCTTGGAGCACCACGCATTTCGCCGATTCCTTGAAAGACTCGAACTTCATCGGCACCCCAAGAAACACGGGAATTGTGCGCAATTTCGCAAATCACACAAATGAGGAATGAAGATTCCATGCGCAAATATAATGCTTTTACCTTGAAACTTCTACACGACGTAACGGGGCGAGTCACCACACTATGGTGGCTAGCCACACCACAGAAAACCTACACGCACCAAAACAACTAACAGCTGGCTATGGCTGTGAATGGCTTTGGCTTGAATTACTTGCAAAAAAAACATTTTCTTGCGAAATAAAAAAGAGTGCATTGTGTTTGGTAAAATACCTTTTAAACAACGATATTGGCTTAAAATAAAGAACAATTTTTAAAAAACCAGCTAAATAACTTTTCAACCATTTTTTTTTTTGTTCTAGCAGACGATAGGGATTCGCCGCTTCTTCCACGCACGTGTGATGCGGCTTTACGTTGGATACTTGCCACCTAAACTAGTTGTATCTGCGTTATCAATGCATCAAAGGATGTCTATAAAGTAGTAATGCTTCTACCTAATGCAGTATGTTATCTTTCAAGGCAAGCTATTTCGATGCCTTGAAGCAAAGGGAAGCCGCCGTGATCAGTTTATTTCACCGATACGCTCGGCACCGCCGTATGCATTAGCGTCGTTCCCCGCGCTGTCTTAACTGTTCGAGGTTGCCTATTCCTTTCACTACCGTTCCTGGAGTACATGTAAGGGACGACGACAACCACGGACTTAACAATAATAATATTATTATCTAGGGTTTTACGTCTATAAACAGCGATAGGATTACGAGAACTCGCAGCGGAGGACTCTTGAAGTTTCAACCATCTGGTGTTCTTTAACGTGCACTTACATCGCACAGTACACGGGCCTCCACCATTTTTGCCTTCTTTGAAGTGAGACCGCCTTTCCCGGTATAGAACCTAGGACCCCTGGGTCAGTACGAGCACTGTAACTACTGATCCACCGTTGCTGACGTCACTATATTGCTATGATGTTAACCATGAATTCACCATCGCAAGTGCAGACAATCCACAGAAAACTGAGGTGTCAAACAATTATAAGTAACCAGATGTAACAACTCTTTAATTAGACAGACTGGAATGTTATTTCACTTCTCTGCACCACCAATAGGCAAAAGAAGTATTTGTGATTTCACGACGCTTGCGTGACGTGCCTCAATTCGCGTTACTGGCGTCATTCAGGGGTGGAGACAGTGAGCCAGATAACTTGGGCAGTGGCTTTTTTTTTCTTTTTAATAATGTCAAAAAATGTTATATCAATTTTGGGCATTGACATGACCGAAAGCAGCGCAAATAAATAGGACATTTCCGTGTCACTCCGTGTTTCTTTTTTGTCTGCATTACCTTCGATCATGTCACAGTGAACCATCTTCCGACGCGCACGAAAAGTTTTATCGTCTTGGGACACCTAGTGAAGGGAATTTATGGTCGCACACAACTTCAACGCCGGTCCCAGTTTCACATTCATCATCTTCACGAGGTGGTGTTCCTTGAAGAGGAACAACGCGACGCCATCAATCTTGTGGTGGCGGAACTTCTCAGCGATGTGTTCGCAGCCTGGGATCCCGGAAACGTATTCTGCCACGTCATCCACAGTCCAATTTTCCGGCGAGTTATCTCCATTATGCAGTGGAAACGTGGTTTCCTGCCGGGGTGTCATTAGCAGCGCAGGCGATGCCTGCGAAGCCACCGAATCATGGGGAGACGACTACAGGACCTTTGGTGGCGTGCCATTGACAAGCTCCGACTTGGAGGTGGCAGTGGCGCCTGGGACAGAGGAGCCGGTCTTGCTCGGAGTTGTCTGGAGTCTTCCGTTTCGGTGTGACAGCACCCGGTAGTGGCTCGATCATGGCCGGCGTCTCGACGAAGGAAGAATCATGCTGCAGGGGCTCCGGAGGTTCGCGCTTAACGGTGACGGCTCCAGACGTACCCGGGTCGGTCCCCGGCATCGTCGATGGCGGTGCGGCCATGCTGCTGACGCGATAGCAAGGCTGCGCCCCCATGATACTGGTCGTCGTTGCCGTGGTTGTACTTGAGAAAGGTTGCAGATACTCCTCGATGAAAAACCCTTCGATGACGTATGTCGTCACGCCAGGCTTCGGCACTATTCGGGCGGGCAAGTCGCAAGGGAGTTCTGGTATGGTTAAGGCCCTGCCGGCTTCGGGTAATGGATCTTGCGGTCGAGCCTCGGCTCGCTGTTGACGTTGCCCGAAATACGGTGGTGTGCCTCTAGGAGTCATGCGGGAGCCCGCGGAAGCGGCTCGCCCACGTGTTCTCTGGCCCCTCATTGCCGACATTTCTGGTAAGAAGTGGTGTTAAGCTCTTTCGACGTAGGTCACTTACGGCGATTTGCGTCGTCTTCCTCTATACAGTCGGCCCTATTGGCGTCTCAAGACTTTCCAGTTCACAGCGGTCACGTTTCACTTGGTGATCCTCACAGCGGGTGTTGGAGAACGTTTCTTCGAACGCCGGCCGTGTGCTGATGATGATGCTGATGACCTCTTATGGATGGCGCTCACCCACAGAGGGGGATGGGCTAAGAACCGGGCGGCAGGATACTTAAATGAAACTAAAATGAAAATGAAGCCAATCTGAAAAAGTAGTTTAAAAATAATACTACCAAAAAACAAAAATGTTTGCTGAGCAAGCGGTCAAACCATCTCTTGTTTTTGATAGACTGTCACAAACGACTCCAATTTTCGGAGCATCCGCTGGCCCCATCTTCCAAGGAAGATGCGTTTTTGTGTTGGGAGACGACATCCGGCGACTATAACGACCCAGCGTGGCGCCGGCTCGTCTTCCCTGCCCCTGACCGGAAGGGGAACCAGCGGTCTCAACAAGGAAAATTACTCCCAGATGAGATGGGAGCACGTGGACGCCCCTGAAGAGGTTTGAACTGCATCGGAAGAGCAGTTGACGTACAGACAGCAACAAGTGCGGTCGTCGGTGTCGCGAGTCTCGCGTAGGCGGCGAGCACGAAGTGACCCGCGCAACGTATTGAGACGGCTGCAATTCCGGGCACCCTCGTCGTCTACCAAGCCGGCGAGACCTTCAGCGGCACCCGTCAACTCCCCTACGTGCACCAAGGGCTGGTTTGGTCCGTATGGAACTTTTTATTGTGACTTTTTTGTTAAACCGTAAACTTGTTTTAACCAGCCTTTTTTTTAATATTTGTAGTGTACGCTGCGTCGCACGTTTAAATTCTAAAGCGCCACCATGATCATTCTGTAATTAATTTCTAGTGTCTCTCTCCTTTGATTTCCATCTTGTTGTTATTTTATTAATGTTCCGCATATTTGTCTTTAGTCTGTATCTTTTGTAGTGTTCTTTTAGCATATTTTGTTATATAGCTGTTCTTTCCTTTGCGTATCAGTGTTACTCCTCTCTGTTATTTTTCTTAACTCCTGCCTTTGCCAGTTTTCCAATTAAATGCTTGTTTATGTGTAATCGAACTCCGTGTCTGCGCTATGAGTGCGTCGGTCAGGCCCACACATCACCACACGTGCAACCCCGCACGGGTCGACCAACCCGCAAATAAATTCGAAATGTGCCACTTCGAGGCCTTTCAGGCGTCGCAGGCCGAAGCGTAAAGTGGAAGCCTGCGAGTCTGCCGCACGTCGATATTGGATCGGCGGGGCGTCACCAGAAGTGTGTAACATTATCTGGCGTCCGCGCGACAGGACTGGCCGACCACGTGGTGGTGTCTGGGAGACTGACGTAACTCTGAGCGTTCAGTATGTAGCCGTTCTGTTATTGCTTTGTTGGTTGTCAACTGTTTATAGCAATGGACAACACGGAGTTTGATAAGCTAATTGAACAGGGCAAAGCCTTTGGCTTTGTAGGCAAGGAGTTATATAATTTTGTCGAAAAAGAACGAAATAGACTCAAAGAGGAGCGCGATGCCGAACGCATTAGGTACAGGCAACATCTGGAATTTTTGATGGAACAGGAGCGAGAAAATTCAAGGCTTAGAATTCAGAAGGAAAAAGAGCGCTTGAGACTGTGTGCTACGCAGGCGGACCCCTGCTCAGGCTCTGAAATTTCTAATAGCACGACCGTCCATGCCCCGAACGAGTTGGCACAGTCGGGTCTTAGCTTAGCCGCTAGAACGCCCAGTAGCGTGACCGACCGTGTCACGAACAAGCAGTCTTACCAGGATCATGTTCAGCTACTGCGCCAGAAAATGGAAGATAGACGGCGCATGTTTGAGACCTGGGATGCAAGGCACAAAGGGGGCAAAGAGACCGTAGGTGCCAAACCGCTGAGAGCCGGGCAAAAATTGTGTACTGTTGAGGCGGACATCAGGTTCGCGAGTGAACCTACTGAGTTAGCTGCTGAAAGTCCTGTTGTGGCCACAAAGGCCACTGAAGGCCGCAGTGATGGCGACGAGGCGCTGTGCCTGGAAAGTCTTGTCGATACAGAAATGCCATCTGTGATTGACTTGGCACAGCCACCCTGTATGGGCGTCGCCATGGCAGCTAACTGTGATGTTCACAGTACAACCGGCCCGGCAGACGAGGACCCCTGTACAGACAGCGGGACAGAGTCGTGTGCTGACGCACACTGCGAGCTGGGCAATGTTGGGGCAAGTAGTTCTCCCAGGTGCGAGCGGCGCAGCCCTGAGGAAGACGCTTGCATTGTTCAGCCGTCGGTCAAGTTTCCCGCAAGTCAGGGTGTCAACAAATTAACAGAAAATCCCGACTGTATAGACGTTACAGCCGATGAGACAGGCGAGACCAGTTCTGCTCTGCAAATGTTGCAAGCGGACTTCTCAAAAGTGAGCACTGGACAACGTCCAAAAAGAAAAAGACGCCGCACAAGCAAAAGGAAAACCAAGGGTGCAAAGCAACCCGGAAAATCGCTAATTGCCAAACAGCAATCGAGGCAACGAAAGCTTCGTTTGCGTTTTGTGGCATTAGCCAGTCGACTGGGTCCCTATGCTTCAAACCGCCCGACAGATAGAGGGGTGAAGCAGGCATATGTTCGTGGAGCTCGGAAGAGCCGACCCCCTTCGCTCCATTGTCCTGCTCGAAGCGCGGGGCGCCTTGCGAGGCAGCGCCTTTCGGCCGAGCGACACGACGTGGTTGAGAGACCCGTTTCCATAGAACGCGGTGACGACGAAGGCATGCCTCCGAGGTGTAGACCAACGGGAAACAGGCGTCCGTG